CGTGGTGATGATGAGCTGTCAGTGCGAAGAGCTCCACAAAGCTCATTCATTGTCTAATGTCTCTCCTTTCCCCCATAGAAACTTCTGTTTTTGCGCTGCTTCCGCGTGGATCGCATTTTCCGCTGCATAAATCAATACATCGTGGACACCATGGATGAGTTCTTCATTATGCCGCCAGTTGTGAGCTTCTCGGCCATTTACGAGCAAACCTCCTGCACCATACCAGTGTGCTTTATACTCAGTGCGGGCTCGGATCCCACCAGTGATCTGATCAAGCTGGCAGACACCATAATTGGCGTGGCCAACTTCTGTCACATATCCCTCGGCCAGGGGCAGGAGAAGGCGGCACTGAAAATGCTCGACACAGCCGTGCGGCAGGGCCAATGGCTGATGCTGCAGAATGGACATCTGCTGATACGTTTTGTGCGAGAGCTGGAGAAGTATTTGGATCGCATAGATAGCCCGCATCCGGACTTTAGGCTGTGGATAACCACAGATCCATCGCCAGCATTCCCCATTGGCATACTGCAAAAGTCGCTGAAGGGTAAGAGACTTTATCCTCGTTTCACTATAAGTATTTAATGTCTTTTCTCTCTTCTTTGCAGTTGTCACTGAACCACCCAATGGCTTGAAGCTGAATCTACGCTCCACATACTTTAAAGTGCGGCAGGAGCGACTCGAGAGCTGCTCGCATCGCGGCTTCCGTCCTCTGGTCTATGTCTTGGCCTTCTTCCATGCTGTCGTCCAAGTAAGTGCAGCCATAGATACTCCCAATTGATGGTCCTGGGGCGCAGTTGGTCGCTCCGACTTGTTTATTTATTAATTTCTTAATTTTGAGTAGCCGAAAGCTTTGCCAACTTGCACACAATTGATGGAGCAGCAGTTGCACCATCGATTGTGCAGCAAATTGTTATTGAACGACTGTTGTGACGAGGGGGATAGGTTCTACAATTAATTTGTTTCCTTAGGAGCGTCGCAAGTACGACAAACTGGGCTGGAACATAGCGTACGACTTCAATGATTCCGACTTTGAGGTCTGCACGGAGATACTTCGCACTTATTTGAGTCGCTGTGCGGACGATAAGATACCCTGGAATAGCTTAAAGTATTTGATTGGAGAGGTCATGTATGGCGGTCGTGTCATTGATGACTTTGATCGTCGCATCACCAACTGCTACATGAGCGAGTACATGGGCGACTTTCTGTTCGATGAGTTCCAGGTCTTCCACTTCTATGAGGATGAGAATGTGGACTACTGCCTGCCCGAGGAGGAGACCGTACTAAAAGAGGACTACATAGGTGAGTGAGGGTATGCCCACAGCCTGCAGATACTTGCACACATTTAATGCACATTCGATAACACAGCGCACATCGACAAACTGCCGCTGGTCAACAAGCCGGATGTGTTTGGTTTGCATCCGAACGCGGAAATCGGTTATTATACAATGGCGGCACGCAACATTTGGAACAGTTTGATTGAGCTGCAGCCGCAAACGGGTGAGTGAACGAAACCCAGCCCAGAGGCGTATCTCTGTGTGGGGAATTGAACATTTTTAGCGCGCGGGGAAAAAGTAATGATAATCATGTAATATAGATATGGCCAGTGCCTGGGCCTGGTAAATGGTTCAATTTGCATGCAACGTGTGCCAATTGTCAGCCGTTCATTACATTTTATCTGCTTGATTGTGGCTCTCTGCTGCTGCTCTCTGTGTCTCGTATTTTTGGCATGCTGCATTTTTAATTTAATTTAATTAATTAGTTGCGGTTTTGCAATTAACTTTATTGCATGCGCCATTATTGTTGGAACACACACACAACAGCAATGCACACATTAAAAATTAAAATAGATGCAGACAGCGCACATGCAGGACATTGCACGTTGGGTCAGCTGGGAGGACACATAACCCTCCACACTCACTTTCATTCGGGTGGCCGCAAATCGCAGCGAATCGAGTTCAAACCTCACCGCACCAACCGCCATCAGAAGCACCAAAAACAAAAAAAAACTGCACCGAAAACGTCACACAAAAGTCGATAATTTTTGCGTTACGTTGCCGGAGCGGAGCGGAGCTTAAACGTGTTAAAACCGCCATCAGAGTGCACTCACACCAGCACACCCTCAACTCATGCATATGTATGTGTGTTGGACCCTGTAAATAACTGTATATACAATTTCGAAAAACTCTTTTTTAAATATATTCGCACACACGAGAAGTGACCAAGTGGAAGCCCAGCGAAGTCAATGCCGGTAAAGTATTTCGCGTACCCCAGTGCCCCACTCACTGCTCCTGGAAGTATAAATAAAAATGATAATAATAATAAGTGCAAATATGTTCACTGATTAAAAATCGAGTTGAACAATTGTATTTGAAGTTCGCGGAGATATGGCCAATGCCAGTTGGGCTGCTGCGAATTTTATGTGAGCTACAAGTAAATATTGTGCCAGAAATATCTGAGAAAAAATATGGACAATCCCTTAAAGAAGAGATTAATTATTGTGCTAATAATATCTCTAAAGCTTAGCAACCCATTTCAAGCTCTTAAAGAAAAGACTACCCCCAAAAGTCTGTAAATTTCAAACAATTAACACACTAAATTATTTATTCCGCCTGCAAACGCAATCCCTGCTAAGAACCCTAATTAATAAAACATAGCTGCAAACTCAATTAAAGCCCACTTAAAAGATGCTTCGAATATCCCCAGAACTTTCTCGAAAAAGGTTTCCAAAACAAAAAGTCAGTTTGGGATTCATTTGATGTGCCAATACGCTCGATATTCCATCGAGTAGCTCCCTGAAGAATGGCCATAATTTGCATATTCATGAGCTTTAGTATTTGCTAATTGACACTTTAACAAAAAATAAAGCAGAGCATAAAAAAGCGTTCCATAGGGGGGTGTCGTGCCAACACAAGCACCGCCAGATAAAAAGGAAAATTAATAAAACAAAAAAAAATAAGTAAAATAAAATACCAATACCGAAAGGAGCAGATAGATGAGAGGAAAATGGGAAAAACCACAGCCTCTGCATACATTACAAAGGTTTTTCTCGCCTTTCTGCTGCCACTCCAACCGCTGCCACAATCCTTACTTACTTCGCTCTTCTCTCTTATTTCTGTCCTTGCCCCATGCAGGCGAGGGTACGGGCGGCATCAGTCGTGACGACTTCATCGACTCGGTGGCCGCTGGTATACTGAAGAAACTGCCGCCGGCCTTTGAGACTTGGCGCATTCGCAAACAAATCCAAATGAGTCTCTCCCCCACCGGTGTGGTGCTGCTGCAGGAGCTGGATCGCTTTAATCTGCTGGTGATTCGCATCAAGAAAACGCTGGAGCTGCTCCGCAAGGTAAATAACTATTAGGAGATTGTCTCTGTCTCTGGCTCTGTCTCTCTGTCTCTGTGCTGAACTGTCAATAGCTGCCACACATAAATCCTTCAGGCTTGTTTTGTTTTGTGCATTTGCTGTTTATGCATTTTGCCAACTTGGCTAAGGACCAAGCAAACAAAACGACAGCATTTTGTTGCCAAAATAAATTTACAAATGCAAATGAGTTCGGGCTTGGAACAGACTCGGGGACAGAGTCACGCCCACACATGTGAGGAGCCGCGTTTTTAATTTGATTGCTTGCCCCTCTCCGCTCCACTCCGCAGGCTATTGCTGGTGAAATCGGCATGGACAATGTGCTGGACAACATTGCCAACTCGTTGTTCAATGGCCTGCTGCCAACATCGTGGAGTTCCCTGGCGCCTGCCACATGCAAGCAGTTGGCCAGCTGGCTGGAGCACTTGCGGGTGAGTCCACGTCCACGTCCACGGTCGCTGCAGCTCATTAATCAGCTTAGCGCTGAATCAATCAAGTGTTCAGGGCTTCGTGTCCACTAATCAGCTGTGTCTCCCTCTCTCTCTGCAGCAACGCTCTGTGCAATATAAGTATTGGTCGATATCGGGCGAGCCCCTGGTCATGTGGCTGTCGGGTCTCCACATACCGCAAAGCTATCTAACGGCACTGGTGCAGGTGAGTCCCATTATGGGGGTCACGGACAACGAACGCACTCCATAATTCCCTCCTCTGGCATTGCCATTTGCAGATTGCCTGTCGGAAAAACGCCTGGCCACTGGATCGCTCGACGCTCTTTACCTATGTGACCAACTATGCGGACCCCGACGATGTCGAGGAGCGTCCCGCAACGGTAAGTGTCCACCTGCCCAGCTCTTTTCTATCTTTCCATCCAACGCTCTAAATGCAGAACGATGACCCAACTGCTCGTTGTGCAGTACGGGGCACTAATTCCGTAATTAAGAATTCTGTTTGCATTTTAATCGTTGAACTTTTTGCAGGGCTGCTTTGTGCATGGATTGTACATCGAGGGCGCACGCTTTGACATGTCGACTAATCAGCTGGCGCGTTCCCATCCCAAAGTACTGGTCGAGGAGCTGGCCATTTTGGCCGTGGAACCCATCGAGGCGCATCGTCTCAAGCTACAGGTCTGTATTGGATAGTTAAGAGTTTGCGTTGGACTGCCTGGGTGGGCCTGGGTGCGACGCCGCCTGCCACTGACAAGTACTAATGTGCGCTTGTATCTACATACAGCAGAGGGTGTGGGGCCACGCTGATATTTGTTTAAATGCATTTCACTAAATTACCAGCAGCAGCAGCAGCAGCTTCCGTTTCCCAACCCTCCCGACTAATGGGGCAGCTGCTGTGCTAATTGTTTCTGATTTTAAATGCTAGCCCGGAAGCTTTAGTTTTAGTGTTTAGTGTTCGGCGTGGGGTGTGGGGTGTGAAACATTAATTTTAAAGACTAAACCAATGATTTTCTCTTTAACCAACAGAACACATTCCTGGCTCCGGTCTATACGACATCCTTGCGTCGCAATGCCATGGGCGTGGGTCTCGTTTTTGAAGCGAATTTGGCCACCTCCGAGGACTTGAGTCACTGGATATTGCAGGGCGTGTGCCTCACCCTGAACACGGATACTTAAGCGATAAATTGAAAGACTGATTTTGGTTGATATTAAATCTTTTATACTAATGCCAAATACATCTATGTTTACAGCTCTGTAGTGGCAATGGCAATGGAGTTTATTAAGGTTTACGTGTCGTATGTCTAGTGCCTGTCAATAACGTGATTTGTGCCTGACTGATAACCGACTGATGTGCCGCTGCTCCTGGCATTACCTGCGCCGCCAGCAGCCAAAGCAGCTGCGGAACTTGTCCATAATCGTGGACTTCATGGAGGGCAGCAGTAGCTCGAGATTCTGTGTGCCCGCGCTGTCATCCGACTCTAGGTCCGAGTCAATGGTCATTTCCTGTATGCTAAATGTGTCGGTTAGTTCGTGGTTCGCCTGCTGGCGACGCTTGCCACGCTTCAGCTGTGCGGGAAAGAAGGAAATCTCCTCCGCATCGTCGCTGCTCTCAGACTTGTAATCGACCAGCGGCTTGTGCTCCGGCTCACCGGGTATGGGCAATCGATTGATGGGTATCAAAGTGGACGATTGTGTCTTGGTTGTCTGTATGATGTGATGGTTTTGCTTTAGTTTTGTTCTATAGATATTTCTAGTATCTTGTGGCACCCACCTGCTCTTCCTGGAATTGAGTGTAATTACGCCTGGCACGCTCGACCTTCAGCTCTAGTTTGCGTTGCAGTATGCGGCAGGTGTTTGGTGGCTCGCTGCGCTCATGGCCCTCCTCCTCCTCATCGATTTCAATGGTCGTGGGGGCATAAACCTTGCCGGCACCCCTGAACGCCACCTCGAACTCCAGGTCGGACATATGTTTGGGTGCTCCGCTGGCCGTTTTCTGCATAGACTTTGGCCATGAAAATTTAGCATTGTTTTACATTCGACTTTACTCACCAGCAGGCCTGCGGCCCCATCCTCATAGATATTCGATTGCCTATCCTCGCTATCAATGCCGCTGTCTTCCATTTTGATTGTGTCTAACTTTCAGGTTAAATCTACAAATTTAGCTACAAAACACCAAAAAATACAAACAGAACGCGATGTTAATACAAACAATTTTTATTGTCTTTCTTGCTGTGGTACTCCCAAAAGCAACTCCAAACAACCCCATGGCAGTGGCAGTGACAGCGCAGGCTCCGTCGAACAGCTGTTGGGGCGCAAAAGCTTGGGAAAAATCAATAAGATCCGACGTCTTGCTGCGCAGCGTTGCCAGATAGTGGTTAGCTTTTGAAGTGCTTTTAATACGAAAGACTTTAAAGGTGTTTTTATACATATGCGCTCTTTATTATGTAGTTTTAATTTATTTACAATTATTTTGTTTTTAGGCTTAAATGCTTTACTCGTTGCACAAATAGATCGTAGAGAGTAGATGCTAAGAAAGTAAAATGAAAATTCGTTTTAGCCGCTCTCCTCTCGATGGTTTGGATTTTGAACGTTACTCAAGAATAAATAGGAACACAAACATACGGAAACACACTAATACTATGTGACATATTGCTCTGGCAGAAGTGTTAAAAACTAAATTAAATGTTCTTTTCGTTCGTTCTTTGTTGATCTGTAGGCTGTGATGGCTGTGTAGTTGTGTTTTGGCTTTTTGGTCTCTCTGCTTCTGAGGCTAATGCTAATTATTATTTCTGTGTTTTGTTGTGTTGTGTGTGTCGTGTGCTTAAACTCAAAATTCAAAAATTCTGCTTCTCTTCGTGGGTGTGCTTAGGTGTGGAATTACAGCGCATTGGGATGAGGCTGCGCAATTTGGCCGGCCAGCGTGCAGGATCTACAGCAGAACTGGGCATAGTACTGATTGATGCAGTATCTGCCCTTCACAATCAGCTTGCAGTTGGCAAAGAACGGATTGTCAATGCACTCGGGCGATACCGGTATGACAGCTGCAAAGACAAAAACATTACCATAAGGCTACCAGAGTTTAGAGTTCTTTCCGACTTACATTGAATGGTAACCGTCTCCTGGCTGACGCTGTAGCTGAACGCATTGCTAGCCTTGCAGCCGTAGATGCCAGTGTCCTCGGTGCTCACATCGCTGACAACCAGTCGATGTGGCTGGGCTGTAATCATAAGAGGGTTTTCCAAATTATAAAAGAGATCTTAAAGCCGTCCCTGACCTCTACTCACATGTAATCTGTATACGCTCGTTGCTGTACAGCGGTATGTTGTCCTTGGTCCATGTCACATTGGGCTCTGGATAGCCCTGCACTGAGCAGCTAAGAGCAATGGTGGAGCCGGGGGAGTAGCTGTTCTTGGGATCCAGTGCCACCAGCGCCTGGGCGTTAACTGAGAGCATACGAAAGGGAGAAATCAATTAACAAAAGTCACCATCAACGCACATCGAGGGCAAGTTAAACACAAAACAGTCAACAGAAAAACGAAAACAATCCACAAAGCAGCCAAAACATGCAAATCCACTTACCTGTAGGTGGGGGCACATAGACCGGACGCGAGGGTCTGTAGGGGTAGCTGGGTCTCTGTGTGACCGGCGCCGTGGCCGGATCTATCACATACTGCAAGTACTGGGCATCCTCGTTGGTCAGGGCACGGGCCGGACCCACCGCCTTCAGTGTGACACGCAGCGAGACGGGGCGTCCACGCTTGTTGTACACCTCGCAGGTGTACAGGCCCAGATCCGACAGCTGGATGGAGCGGAACAGCAGCGAGAAGTCGCGTGCCATCTCCGCACGTCCGCGCTCGCGATTGCCGAACAGATTGTTGTTGCGCCACCAGCTGACATGCGGCTGCGGATAGCCACCCGCTGGGCAGCGTATCACCGCCTGTCTGTTCAACTGCACGATCTGGGTAACATTCTTGTTGCCGTACACATATGCGGGTGTATCTACGGACTCTACCATCACCAAGTCAAGTCATCGACAAGCAAAAGGGATAAAAGGCAAGAGGCAAGGCAAGCATGCATAACACAATGCAAACATAAAAGCAGTTAGTTATATGAAGTGCCAACACCGAATAGTAAATTTAAGATAAACCAATAGTAGGTAGCTCCAAAGTCGATAGTCCGACTGTAATTTAATTCCCGGTGCTCAGATTGCTTAAAGTTAAAGGGAACGGTAAATGAAGTAGCTGAAAAGATCTCGGGCAGCGCAGTCGGCCCAAGCACAGCGTAAAATCTTCGCGTGCCTGCGGCCCATGCACAGAAATCCACCGCAGCGGCAGACAGAACTTCGTATGGCGCTATGCACGTTTGATCGGCTTCGTCTGCAGCGGCAGAGAAGCAAGAAACGTTTTTGACTTCGTGTTTGTTGTTTGTGCATACAAAAGCACTTGAACGGTCCATCGACTGCATATGGAGCTTTTATGGATGTGTGGATGTACGCTTTGTTTACGCGCTGCAGCATTTTGCATGCAGCTTTGATCAGACTGAGGACAGAAAGGGACAGACATAGCTGAAAAGCTCAAAGCTTTAGTGATATTCTCAGAGTGGACGCAGGCAGACAGCAACGAAAGCTCGCGAATACAGTTGAATTTACTTGTACAACAAATCATGAGCATTGTTTTATGAAACCAAAGTCTAAAATTGCACTTCAAAAAAGATCAACATTGCATGCATGAGAATTTATCTCTTTTGAAGTTAATTAAATGCCTTAACACCGAATAAAATGCTTGTGCAGCACGTACCTGTCACTTGGAGAGCAACCTCACGGCGCACTGGCTCGCCCAGGCCATTGCTGGCCACGCAAACGTAGGTGCCGTCGTCGGTTTGGCGCACCTGCACGATGGTCAGATCACCATTCGAAGTCAGGACATAGCGTCCTTGGTTCGTATCGATCTGTAAGACAATCAAACGAAAGTGAAAGTGAAAGTGACTGTGGAGACAGTATGCTCCCTTGCTAAACCCTTACCACCACATTCTTGAGCGACCAGGTGATATTGGGCGCTGGATTGCCAGTGGCGAAGCACCGCAGCACAGCGATGCCACCGATGGAGGTCTGCACATCCAGTTCCTGTGGCTGCTTGGACTCCAGTACGGCCCTGCTCTCGCCCGGATAGATGACTGTGGGCGCACGAGTGCTAGGCCGCTGTGTGGGGCGGGCGGGCTGCACACAGAGATAACCACAGCCGTCGCTGCAGCACTTGTTCTCGCCACGGCAATCAGCATCGGTGTAGCACTCCTGGGCGCAGCTGCTGGCATTGGCCGCCAGTCCGGGGCACACTCCGGGCTTGTTGGTGTCGCGGCAGACGGGCGCAAACTGACGATCTCCGGTGTTGGCAATCTCAATGGCACACTGCTGGCCCTCGGGGCAGGAGTAGCTCTCGCATGGGTTCTCGCACAGGCACTTGGTGCACTCCGGCTGGGAGCGATCAGCCTCACGGCGCACGCCATACGGGCAGCGCAGCTCACGGCACTCGTTCTCGAAGCTATCACAGCGACCCTGTCCAATCTCATTGTCAATCTCGTTGTCCACGGGCTCTGTGGGGGGAAACAGCAGGCAAAGGATGAGCATTTTATGCAGAAATTGTATGAGAATATCCCGAAAACCCGTGCAAACTTAGAGCTAGTGAGAGTGCCAAGTACTAATCGAGTCTACAAATGCTACTTCTAAAAGTTCTACTCAAAATTCAAGCAGGTTGAAAGTGCAGGGGCAAAGTGCAAGGTGCAAAATTGAAGGATGCAGGTGGTGGTGCGGGTGGTGCGTGGTGGTTCTGGTGCATACAAGTGTCAGCTGGGTGTATCGGTCTTACTTCCGCAGAGATTCGTGCATGCTTCAAACGAACGGAAGTTGTTCTGATTGCCGGAGCAACCCGAGTAGATGAAGGACACACAGGTGCCGCGCTCATCATCATAATACCAACGACGCTCCTGCACCGACGGTCCATTGCATCGGCCGGTAACCAGGGGCAGCAGACACATTTCTACTTACGCCAACGGAAGACCAAAGAGAGAATCTGTTAAACTGTTCCTTTTTCGGGTCACTCGACTCGACCAAAACGTTACCTTTAGCCGTACCCACTGACGGCTCCGGCTCGCGGGCCGCAATGCAAACGGTTTGACACTCGTAGAGGCCGTCAAAGCGATTGCCAGTTCCATCACATCCGCCGTAGGTGAACGGCTCACAGGTGCGCGTATCGCGATTGAAATAGTAGCGAGTCTGCCACTGAGTGCAGGGACCCGTCGTCACTGGCTCATTGCAAACGTCTAACGCAAAGTATTAAAGCAGCTGAAAGGCACAGAACGGGGCATGCCCCAATGCAAACACTTACCCACGCCCTTGAACTCGCCGCACTGGCGCTCGCACTGGTCACGCGTCTCGAAGCGATTGCCATTGCCGCCACAGCCGCTGTAGGAGAAGGCCGTGCAGGCCATCTTCTCGTTGTCGTAGAACCAGGCTGTCGTATGGTTATCACACTCGCCAGCCTCGGGTGCCTGAGTGCACACGGAGTAGGTCTAGACAGGAGAAGATAAATGTTTATTGCTGAAAACTTTCATCAAAAGATCCACAACTTACTGGTGCTGCTGGTTGTGGCTCAGACAAGGCCTGATCCCTGCAGTAGCCCAAACACTCCCGCTCGGACACAAAGTTATTGCGATTGCCGCGGCAGCCGGTAAACTCAAACTCGTGACAGGCGCCACTGCGCTCATCAAAGTACCAGCGGCGGGACAGGTCCTCGCAGCGTCCGCGCACTGGTGGCAGCGAGCAGGTGGTCTGGGCATCATTGCACTCGTTCTGGCACTCCTCCTCGCTGGCATAGCTGTTGGCATTGCCGCCGCAGCCCGAGTACACGAACTCGTCGCAGAGTCCCTCTCGGCTGTTGTAGAACCAGCGAGTCTCGTTGTTGTAGCAATTGCCCGACTCGGCGGGCAGGAAGCACTTGGCAGTGTCTGGCTCTGAGCGTGGCTCCTCGGGTTCTGGCTCGGGCTCTGGCTGAGGCTCTGGCTGCGGCTCTGGTTCTGGTTGTCCGAAACGATTGTCTACGCTGGGCGAGCAGCGATCGGAGCACTCCTGCTCGGACTCGAAACGATTATCGTTGCCGCCGCAGCCGCCGTAGTAGAACTGCTGGCAGCGACCGGCAGTCGCATTGAAGTTCCACTTGAGCACATACTCATCGCAGTCGCCGACGGCAGGTGGCTGATCACACTGATGGACAGCAGCTGGAGCAGGCTCACGAGTCTGTGTTGGAGCAGGTTCCCTAGTCTCTGGTGGAGCTGGTCGTCGGGTCTCTGTCGGTGGACTGGCACAGCGCTGCTGGCAGTCGGACTCAGTCTCAAAGCGATTGCCATTGCCAGCACAGCCGCCATAGTAGAACTGGCGACACGCGCCAGCCTCTGCATCAAAGTGCCACTTGAGCGTGTACTGATCGCAGTCGCCAACATTCGCTGGTTCGCGGCACACATCCACGGTGCTGGGTGCTGGTGCTGGTGGTGGGGTTGTGGGTTCGGGTTTCTTCTCGCAGCGCGACAGACAGGCCTCCTCGCTGGCAAAGCGATTCTCGTTGCCGCCACAGCCGCCGTAGTAGAACTGGCGACAGCTCTCGTCCTTGGTGTCGTAGTACCAGGCGGTGACGTAGTTCGCGCACTGTCCCACCTCGGCAGGGATCTCGCAGATGTCCTTGGCTAAGTGTCACAGGGGGAGAGCGTGTTAATTGAGGGATTCTTTGCGGTGCTGACACACAAACACATTGATAGCTGCCACGAGTAACAACAACATTGAAAGCTTACCAACTTGCCGGGGACAATGGTCCTCGCAGGACTCCAATGAGGGGAAACTGTTCTTGTTGCCACCACAACCAGTGTAGTAGAAGGGCAAGCAGCGCTTCTCGCTCTCCGAGAAGTGCCACCTGGCATGCCGTTCGCTGCAATCACCAGTTTGCTTAGGAAGTGAGCATTGCTCTGAGGTGCAGTAAGGATTCAGGTACAGGTACAGGTGGGCAAGCAAGCAAATCATGCGCATACATTAAACCGAAAGATTCAAGCAGTTGGGGGAGAAGGAAAAAGGAAGGAGAAAGTGTAGGCAAAACATACCGTTAACCAGGAGTTCAAGTAACAAGTTTAAGCTTAACAAATAATTAACAAAATTCCCCACAAGCAAACCCCAGTACAGAAAGCTACAATTAGTTCGGCTGGTCAAACCTTTGAGTACGCCCGGCTGGCGACAGTTGTAGCTGCACGCATGCTCCGTGGGATAATTGTTCTTGTTGCCCTTGCAGCCGCCATAGGTGAAGGGTCGGCAGATGTCCGTCTGGTTGTCATAGTACCAACGCTCAAAGTTGCCAGCACAGGGACCATTCTCCACAGGCTGTTCGCAGGTGGCTGCAAAAGGGAAAGGAAAAGTTAAAGAACAGCTCGAAGAGCTTAACCCACTTCTTCTTCGACTCACGAATACTCTCGCTGACCGCACAAGTTCCTTGACACTGTTCGAGGCTATCAAAGCGATTGTTGGTGCCATAGCAGCCGCCGTACTGGAACTCCTCGCAACGATTGCGATCCATATCGAAGTACCATTTCTTGGTGAAGCCCGTGCAGGGGCCCACGCTCTTGGGCAGCAGGCACACATGCTGTCCCGTGTAGTCCTGGCAGGTGTCCTTGCACTCGGCCTCCGTCTCGAAGCGATTGGCATTGCCATCGCAGCCGCCATACCAGAACCGTGCGCATCCTCCGTAGCTCGTATCGAAGTAATATTTGACGCTGAAGTTGCCGCAGGTGCCCGTCTCCTTGGGCAGGGCGCAGGCCTTTTGCGGTGGCTCCAGCACATTCTCGCAGCCGCCGAACTTCTCGTCCGTGGCACTGCTGACGCCATCGGGGCAGCAGCCAAATTTGCTCTCCAGGCAGGTGCAGCCCTCGAAGTTGGGACCCTTTGCGGGTGTCTTCTCGTCCTCGCAGCACTTGAACTCCGTCTGGGTGCAGTGGCAGCCGTGGTGGTGGGGTCCCTTGGCAAAGGTGAGTCCATCGGGGCAGCAGCCAAACTGTGTCGTCTCGCAGGGGCAACCCTCGAACTTCGGTCCCTTCGCAGCAGATATCTTGTCGGGGCAGCAGCCATGGGGAGTCGTCTCGCAGGCGCAGCCCTCCTGGTTGTAGCCACGAGCCGCAGTCTGCTTGTCCGCACAGCAACCGTACGGCGTGTAGTGGCAGTCGCAGCCCTCAAAGTTGGGTCCTCGTGCGGCCAGAATGTTGTCGGGGCAGCAGCCAAAGGCAGAGTCCAGGCAGCAGCCCTCGCCGTTCGGTCCATGGGCAGGCGTCTCGGAGTCGGGGCAGCAGCCAAACTGTTCGCGGGTGCAGGCCGAGCAGCCCTCACCCCCGGGACCAGCAGCAGCTGTGCGTCCATCTGGGCAGCATCCATGCTCGGACTGACCACAGCCCTTGGGTGTCTCTGGAGCGGTGCAGCCTTCAAAGTTCTCGCCCTTGGCCGGGGTCTGGGCATCCGGACAGCAGCCAAACTCAGCAAAGGAGCAGGACTTGTCCTCGAGAGCGGGCACCTGTGTGGAATCACTGCCGGAACCCTCAATCTCCGTGGTGGACTCTGGCAGCGACTCCTCCGTGGTGGTGGTGGGTGGCACGGTCGTTGTCTCGGGGCATCCCTCATTGTCCTCGCCCTCGGCGGCGCTGAAATTGTCGGGGCAGCAGCCAAACAGCGTCTCGGCGCACTGAGACTTGGGGCAGCCCTTGTTGTTCTTGCCCTCCGCTGGAGATACGCCATCCAGGCAGCATCCAAATTTGGTATCAGCGCAGGTCTTGGGTATGGGACAACCCTCGTCGAAGGGTCCTTTAGGTGTGGACTTGCCGTCGGGGCAGCAGCCGTACTTGGACTTGGCGCACTCCTTCTTCTTGGGCTTGCACTTGCGTGGCTTGTCCTTGGTGATGGCCGACTCCCAGGTGTTCGGGGTGCTGGACTCCTCCTCGTTGTCGGTGGAGCCCCAAATGTCGCTGGTGCCGCTGCCCAGCTCTGTGGACTGCGTGCTGTCGGTGGATCCTTCGGTGGTGCTGTCGGTGGATCCCTCGGAGGTGCTCTCCTCGGTGGCTCCACTTTCGGTGGTGTCTGTGGTGCCACCGCTCTCCGTAGACTCTGAAGCATCGGTGGATGCCGAGGCATCGGTGGATTCCGTGGACTCTGTTGCTTCCGTTGATCCCGAAACGTCAGTGGAGGATGAAGACTCCGTGGCAGTGGATTCTGTGGCATCTGTGGAGCTCGTGGAACCGGACACATCCTCAACGGTGCTGCCCTCTGTGGTGGAGCCTTCGCTGGAGCCAGCCTCTGTGCTTTCGGTGGTGTCTGTGCTCGCTGCCTCTGTGGATTCCGTGGACAAAGTGGAATCAGGTGATTCGGTGGAGCCATCGCTGGAGCTGACATCCGTGGAACTCTCCACAGTGCTGCCGCTCTCTGTCGTTGAACCATCGCTGGACGAGTCTGTCGTTTCAGTGCTGTCTGAAGAGGAGGTTGAGGAGGAGGAGTCGGATGAGGAGGCAGTTGTAGTCTCTGTGGTGTCCGTTGTGCTGCCATCTGATGTGCTCTCGCTGGAGGCAACACTGCTGGAGGAGGCATCACTCGTGGAGGAGGAATCATCACTCGTGGAGGATGAATCATCGCTCGTGGAGGAGGCATCCGTGGTGGAGGAAGCATCCAGCGTGGACTCTGTGGTGTCTGTCGACGTCTCAGGTGTGGTTTCAGTTGTGTCCTCCGAAGTGGATTCAGTCGAGGCAGAGGACTCTGTCGAAGAGGAAGTGCCATCACTGGTGCTGTCCGAGGAGCTCTCCGTGGAGCGGGAAACGTCTGTGGAATCGCTGGAACCTTCAGTGGTGTCGCTGGAATCAGACGTCGCCACAGTTGTTGAGTCGCTGCTGTCGGAGGTTTTGTCAGAGGAGTCGCTGGTGGAGTCTGTGGAGCCCGAAACTTCCGTGGAGCTTGAGGCATCCGTGGAGCCTGAAACATCGGTAGAGGCTGAGGCATCCGTGGAGCTGGAAACATCGGTGGAGCCAGAGACATCTGTGGAGCCTGAGACATCTGTGGAGCCTGAGACCTCCGTGGAGCTGGAGACATCTGTGGTGTCGGAACTGGACGATTCAGTAGCGCTCGAAGCATCTGTCGAGCCACCAGAAACTTCCGTGGACTCATCCGTGGAGCCGCTTGAATCAGAGACTGAAGATGCGCTGGCATCGGTTGTGGAATCGCTGGAATCGCTGGAATCGCTAGAGTCGCTAGACGAAGCATCCGTGGAGCTGGACACACCCGTTGTTCCGTCAGACGTTTCCTCATCATCTCCGCTGCCCTCAGTCGAAATGCCGCTGTCCGTTGTGGAGTCTGTGTCCTCGCCCGAACCCTCCACCGTGGTGGCTGTCGCAGCAGAGGCATCAAAGGCCGTCGTGTCGGGACTGTCGCTGAGCATCAGTTCGTCGGTGAAGAGCGTGGACTCTGTCTTGGCTTCGTCATCGAGATCAACGCCATCGGAGGAGATCTTCTGCTCATCGGGCAGGCTGTCGGTGACCAGTTCCATGTCATCCTCGTCGCAGTCGTCGTCCTCATCGTCCTCGATGGGTGCATCGGTGCTGGTCAGTGGCAGAATCTCATCTTCCGTGCAGGCCTCTGGGTTGCACTTCTCGGATATGGACTCCAGCTTGGACTCATCGCAGTTGAGCGCCTTGGTGCCATTGGCCAGGCACAGGACCTCGCGTGTGCGCTCTCCGCCGCCGCAGGGTTTGCTGCACTCGCCCCAGGGTCCGGTGAACCATTCGCCTGGGCACTCCTTCTCCTCGCCCTCGCAGTCCTGCTCCTGTTCCGGTTTTTTGTCCTTGTTGCACTTGCTGTCATCGGTGGCGGGGCTGACAGTCTTGCCATCGAATTCGCCGCAGATGACGATGCGGGATTGGACACCCTTGCCGCAGGCAGCGGAGCATTTGCTCCACTCCGATGAGAACCATTGAGCCTCGCACTTGGGTGACTTGCAGGGGCGGGAGAGCGTTGGCACCTCTGGCTGACAGAACTCCTCTGGGTACTCCTTGCCATCCTTAGAGCCGCAAATGGCAGTGCGGGTTTCCGTGTTCTGGCCACAAGCGGTGCACTGAAAGGTGGAACCAAAAATGAGTCATGGATCCAGGGGTAAATATCTCTATCTCTATCTCTATCCAATACTTACTCCACTCCATTGAGAGATGATCCAGTCTACGCCCTCGCAGGGTGCCAGCAGGCAAGTCTTCTCCACCTCTGGCTTATCCTCCACACAATCCTCGTCGGGCAGCACGCGCTTCTTGCCGTTCTCCTTGATGAAGCAAGTGGCCTTGCGGGTCTGCTTGCCATCGCCGCACAACTTGTCGCAGGGTGTCCATGGGCCCAAATGATACTTGGGGCAGTTCTTGACATCACGATTACACTCCTGGGCTGTGGCGGGTTTGTTGCCAACCTCCTTGAGGCACACGGCATCGTCCTCCACTGTGTGTTCGCTGTAAGAGAAAACTGTTGTGTGATTTATCCCTTAGCCAAGGATCTGCGCTGCGGCTTACCCATCCGAAGAGATTCGCTCGCAGGTCACAGAGCGGTTTTGGAAGCCATCGGAGCCGCAGCCCTTGGAGCACTTGCTCCACTCACCCTCCACCCAGTGTGGGGCGCAGGGCTCTGTGCCGCAGGCTTGCTCCTCCTCTGGCTTGGACTCCTTCTCGCAGAGTGCGGCGTCCACCTCTTGCAGGTTCACTCGATTATTGCAGGTGACTTTGCGGGACTGAGTGCCGCCGCCACAGGAGGCGCTGCATGGCCCAAACTCGCGATGCGTCCACGTGTGCGTGTCCGGCTGGCTGTGGCTCAGGGACTCTGGGATGCTGTACTCGTAGTCGATGCTCACATTACGCTCCTGCACCAGCATCACAATGAAGATGCTCTCGGAGATGGGTCCGGGACAGGTGAGCTGATCGGGTGCGGCAAAGCCCATGGGTTTGCGCTGATAATTCCACCAGGAGTCCGCATAGAACATGGGACGGGGAAAGTCAATCCTCCAGTTGCCATTTAGATGGTAATGCCCCGAGAGGTTGCGGCATGCCAAATAATTGTTGGACGGGGCAGTCTCGATGATCTTGATGTTGGTAGCGCCCTGTGGCACGAGCAGCAGATCATTGTAGCCAGGGGCCAGGTCGCTGGAGCTGTAAGTGTTGTGAATCGTCTTGCAGGTGCTGCCATCGCCGCCGCACTTGCGGCACTTGTCCTCCTTGGCATCGCTGCCCAGCATCATGTCACAGCCGACGGGCATGCACTGCCCATCGACGCACACATCCAGATCCTTGTCGTTGCAGCGGGTGCCATCGACCACCTTCTCCTTCTGGCGGTAGTAGAAGCGTTCGCCGCGCGGCATGCAGTTCAGCTCGCAGGGATTGGGTGCACCCAGATAGGGCACCCACTCGTACAAGACGCCATCGAAGCGCTGATCATCGAAGCGAGAGCATTGCAAGGCTCTAAAATCGGGATCCTCCTCCGGGCAGTCCTGCGTGTTGCACGAATAATAACGACGATTGCCGCCGCTGCACTCTGCCTCGCCGTTGTAGCTAAAGGAGAGAGAGGATTCAGTGTTGGGAATCGATTTATGGGTGGCTTCAGGTACTGACTCTCTTCGCAGACATTCACGCGTCTGGTAGGACACACCGCCGCCGCAGGTGCGTGAGCAATCCGAGGGCGAACTCCATTCCGTCCACTCGTTGGGATCGTCACCCTCGCCGCCGGGCGTCACAGAGCTGTCCGGCAAATACATATTTGCGCCATATTGTCTTTTTTGTCGCAGTCCAGGCTGTGTAAAGAACGCTATAAAGGAGGATCTGGGGGGATATTTGTGGGGTATACTTACAAATCTACTCTGGGAGTCTGGTATGCCAGCCAATACAATGAATGCTATCAAGGCAGTTGTACTGAAATGTTGCAGAAACAAAGTGGAATTCTGTTAAAAATGCCATCTCTACCCTAACAAACATGTGCTTATTGATTCTATCAGCAAAAGCAACATAGATCAATTGTCAACATGTTGCTATTACTATTTATTGGCACTTGTCAACATTTGTGCATTGCCTTTGAACCCTTCTTCTCTCACTCTTTATGCTTATTCTGTGCCTGTTTTCTAAACAAATTCAATTTAATTAAGGACATAACCTCGCCCAATAACAGCTACGAGCCGGGCAATGGCCCATTCATTAAACCCAAAGGGACAGAACGACGTCACGTGTTGACTTGTTGCAAATATTTGTTGACTTTGCCGCATGCTTCGACATCTCCACAGACTCATTAAAGCAGCAAGCAACAGGCGTAAAGGGCACTGTGGAGATTGGCAGAGTGGGAACTGTGGGGGAAAGGGCCAAACCGGAGCACGTCCAGCGAAGGGGCACAAATAACACAAAAACTTTTGTGGGGCTTCTTCTGATGATGAACTTGTTTATGCTTCCCGCTCTCTCCCTATCTCTCTCTCTCTCTCTCTCTCTCTCTCCATGGCCAGTGCAAGCAAACATTGAACTTGTTTTTCGCCACAAAAATGCAGCAGTATGCAGGGGGGGAGTGCAGTGGTAGGGATAGCGGTAAAGAATATCGCCCGACTTTTGGTCAAGTCAAAAATTTGCAATTTTCTTTTGGTAACAATTTTTTATTATGCGCCGGAGGCGACCATAAATATGCAATGCCACATAAACAAGACATAATTTAGCAGCACTTCCTGCCGATTTGCCAAAAAAAGAAAAGCAGAAAAAAAGTAAAGGAAAAGGCAGAAGCAAAGGAAAAGCCAAAGGAACAGGCAAAATAATAAGTACCACGCCAGGGAGAATATATGATTATGCCGCAGACATTGGGACGCCACAGTCGCAGTGGCAAGCAGTCGACTTGGCCTCGACTTGGGTAGGACGACAGGGCCGCCCGAGGACAAGTTGCGTGAATATGTCAAAAGTGTTCAATGTTGCACGGGCAAACGCAGGGCGCTTGCCGCTTGCCGCTTGCCCACCCATTGTTGGTGGCTTGCCAATTTAATTTCTGACGCTGCGTGCAGCGGGCAGGAGGTGGAGGGGGCTCTGCCTTCGTTTTGTTACGCTTGGACGCCTTCGACGGATGGCGCTTGCTCTTCTTCAGCCGCGTGGCTGCCTGCATGGTCCTTGGTCCTTGGCCACAGCAGGCGTGCTGCTTATGACAGCAGACGAAGGAGAGTCTGCCGGAGGAGCGGCAGGTCGCCAAGTGTGGTCATAATTTTTATGCTTCTGTGTTGGCATTTTAATGCAATTTGAGCGCATTTCCCTTTTGAAACCAATGCCAGGACACCTATTGCTTTGGCAACGACCAGGACAACGGCAACGGCAACGGCACACATTTCACAGTCCATTGAGCTCGAGAGCGGAACGCAGGGAGGGGAGCGCTGGAAGCGGCGTCACCCAGACGCCTCCCATGCCATTGCGTCATAGAAACACAGGAAGTGCCACGGGGATCGGGACCGGCAGCAACTCCAATAGAAGCTTTATTAATTGGGCAGTTGCCTGAAAAGCCAGCAGCCAAAATTTGCTGAGACGACCGAAACCACAAAAGCAGTTCATGATTTCGGCTGTCGGCTGCTGATTACGCAAAATCCTCCACTACTCCTCCAGCAGAGACACGGAACCGGGGTAAAAACATTGTTATTGCCACATGTGGCGGATGCCACGTGACACGAGCATAAACAGTTGCCATTGAGCAACTCAAATCGTCAAATAAGTTACACATTACACATGTCATGTAAACCACCGGCAGAAGAAACCACACTGCCTCCCTCCCGGCCACAGACATCCGCCACACCACCTCATAAATACCAAACAACAACACAACGGACAGAGAGAGAGAGGAAATGCTAAATTCGGCGGAAACTTTACAATAATAAGATTACAAGCTGCGTCCCACCACAGTCATGGCACAATAAATTGTTCGCTGGCCTGGCCCTGGCTCTGACCTTTTTTCGGCCCAAAATGAAAAGGAGCCAAGGAGCACGCTAATAGCCAAGATCAAAGCAGCAGTCGAAAGGGGGGCGGCCAATTAACAGGCCTGGCCAGAAACACGGCCGCCTCACAATGGCCATCCATTGTTCATTGTGCAGCAACTCCAGAGAGCCAGCACAATGGCATCCAGCATCAATAGGCACAGATAAAAGTCTAAATGGGAATCATGGGAGAGCGGGAAAGAGAGAGAGACTCCAACTAGCATCATGATTTCGCATCTAATAATAGTCATTTAGCAGCAACAAATTAGATTTTAAATTGATTGAAAGGCGGCCTAGAAGAGAGGAGTTTTTTCTGTTTTTTTTCTCACAGTCTGCTGCAACCACTCTCACAGTGCACTCTCCCTCGCTCTCTCATAAGTAGCTCAAAAATCACTTCACATCAAGTGCCATAGATATGCAGGCAACAAGTGCATTTTGGGAGCAATGCTGGAATGGCCAGCATAAATAAAGCGGCTGCTAATGAGCCACAAGTAGAGCACTGGGCTGGCGGCACTTACTCCACAAGTGCGTGGCACTTAGCCCCGCTAAATCTCAAGAACACAAAAACAAATTAAATTTAAACGAATGCCAAGCAAGATCCCCCAAAAGATAGATTTGGATGAGTGTGTGGCAAGTTCTTCCAAATCTAAACAATCGCAGAGCTACCAAGAAAAATAAATTCTAGGCAGATTTCACACCTGTACACAGGTCTCAGTGGCGTTTGATTTGTTTACATGACTCATCGACGAGGTCGTGGCAGTGAGGCAACCACTAGAACAACCACTCCACTCCACCACCCACTTGGAGGCAACCCCCCGAAGAAGTAGGAGCCGAGCGAGCGATTCTTGCTGCTGTTTCCCATGCCAATTGATTGAGGCACAACTATGCAGCACATCCTCAAGCTCTTGTGTGTGTGTGGATGAAATCCAATCGAATAGTGAGGCATGCAGCATTTCTGTGTACCATGAAGATGCCACAGCTGCCTTTGCCACTGTTCCCGGGGCCTTTGATGAAGATGGAATGCCCATGGCCAGCAACCAGCCAGCCCAGCTGCAATCATTTGACTTCTGCCTGGCCCCTTTCGCTTTTATTTTTTATGTTGATTGTAAAAAACGCAGAGTCGACAGTGGGAGAGTAGGAAGAGTGCAGGGCAGCAATGGAATTTTTGTTGCAACTGATTTAATTGCAAGAAGCGAAACAAAAGTGCAGCCAACCCAAAGGCAAGGTTCTGCTGCCACGAAATGCCCCCTGCTGTAGGGCAGATCACTGTAAGAGGATATTACACTCTATGTGCTATGTGTATACCCACTCTGTAGCATCCTTAAGTAATCAGCTTCATTAGTTTGAGGGGCAGGCTGGCAAAATCAGCATCAGCCAGCAATTAGACGAGGATCTACCTCATTAGTTCAAAGGATACCCAAATACCTGAAGCCCAAACCCACACAAATGGCACACACACACACATGGCACACATTTGTTCAAATACAATTACATAGTCATACAATTATCGCAAGACAAACATAGACTAATGCAAAACGCCAAATTGTGGCTGAGGTGTGGCCAGGTAAATGCTGCTGCGGCTGCTCTCTCTGCCTCTGCTGCTCTCTCTCTGCCTCTGCTGCTGTTCCCCTCTCTCCCTCTGCTGATGTCTCTATGAAGCTGCGGGCTGCCTGAGGGTGGAGTCGCAGCCAGCACAACGACATTTGTTGCAACGGAAGTAAATGTTTGCATTGTTGAAATTTTAATTGCATTTGCATAAAGCAATGCACATAGAGAAGGAGACACATCTCTGCACTTGGCTGCGCCCTTGCCTGTTGCCTGCTCCTGCCAAAGAGACACACACGGCTTGGCTCGGCTCGTCCAAGCAATTATCAATTTCAAAATTAATTCAACCTAATTGAGTAGTGAAAATAATAAACATGCGCATGCTCCTTCCTTTTGCTGTTGCCTTTGCCTTTGCCCTGAAGTGTTTACACGTTGAGCACAGAGACTCTCAGATTATGCAACAGTAACTGTGACTCGCTTCCTGCCTACAAAGTTGCAGCTTTTGGGGTCTAAAAGGCACTTCAGCAACAACTACCACATGCCTTCGGGGCAACAGCAACAGCAACAGCAACAACAAAGTGTGCACAAAATGCCTAATGAAATATTTGTCACGCGTTTGGACAAAATGAGCAAACAGAAAATGCACAGTTAAGCGCAGTTACAGAGAGGGAGAGAGCAAGAGCGCAAGAGAGTGCAAGATATGAAGAGAGGAAGAGAGCGAGCGTACGCTGGGAGAAAGGGAAAGACTGCGTGAAGATTTTCTTCGGTTTCACTTCTGCTTGTTGAGCCCCCGCCCGCCTTACTGACCCATAAATTTCACTCACTGACAAAATGTTCGACTTGTAAACAAATTTTTTTTATGGCAAATGTTGCACCAGCAGCAGAGGCCACTTGAAGTGCAACTGCCACAAGAGCGCACACAGTGCCAGGCAGCTAATTAGAGGCATCATAATGCCGCTGTCGCGACAGAGAGCTCCTCTGCCCCCCCCCCCCACTGGAACAAACATTGGCAATTTTCTATTTGCCCGACTCATTCGGTTCGAGATTGCAACAAGCTGCTTGACTCCCCAAGTTGTGCGCATATTCACTTATAGCTAGAAGCACTAGAAGGGGGAGAGAGGGAACGAGCGGTAACAGGGGGGAACAAGGGTTAGCAGCTGGAACTTTGAACCCAACACAAAAACGCGTTGGCGGAGCAGGCACCCCGGATTCATCAGGAACTCATCTCTGTGTAAACATTTTAGCGCTCATTCATGATAAAATAAAATACAAAAAAAAAATTGTGCGAAAAAAACTGTTCATGGGAAATTAGCGCACAGGATGCCCTCGATGATCTGGCATATATTTCAGCACATAATTAGCGGCAAACTATTCAGCAAAAAACCAGCCAATAAGTATGCCCAAACAATTCTGGGAAATGGATTCCTATTAATAGGATTTAAGTTATGCTTGTTCATAATTTATGCGGTGCTAATTGAATTTAGGAATTTCTACACTCCCATTTGTTTGAAGTGAATCATTTATGGGCAGACCATCTTCATTGGAAAGTAAAACTTATTAATCTTCGTATTAAAAACACATCAGCCAGAGCATAATTATCACGCAAAGCAACCAGCCAGCTAAGCTAAGACAAACACAAAAGCAACTTCGATGGCGATTGACGCAAGCACACACAAATTTCAGTTATTTATAATAGCCATCAAATGAAATGTTAACCAAGGCAATTGCGTTGAAATTGTAAGAAGCGTATGCCAACTGGCAGGTAAAATGTAGAGCAGACATTGATTTATAGCGCAATTACGGATTCCCTGGCATTGTTCTCAGCCAGAAGCAGAGGGAGTAATGACAGTGGCAGTTCAACGCTTCTCAGTTGCTTCTTTCGCATTCCTTTTGGACAGGCATTGGAGCTGGAGGATGCTGAGTCCCAGTCCCTGTCCCTAACCCTTTAACGTGCATCAATTCGGGCTCCCCATTTAGTTAATTTTGTGTCATCGAAATGCACATCACGTCCACCCAAGAACCAGCCAGCAGCGATCGTCGCTTGTCGTCAGTCAAAAACATTTTTATGGGTTTTTATTTTTCGGGTTATTCCGCTTTGGTCTGGCCTGGGCTGAATGTTTCACTTGTTGCTGCTGCACGAATGTCTCGCACTCCAAGTCTGCTCCCTGCCACAGCGAGAAGTTTTTAGCAACATTTTGCTGCATGTGACGCATCGTTTGTGGGGATCTGCTGCCCCTTGCCACAACCCCGGCTACTCCTCGTTGAAATTTTTGGATATTTTTTGCCGTCTTTTTGGTTTTGAATCTTTTTTTGGCCTGTGCAACTTTTGCGGCGGCATATTTTGGGGCATCCTTTTTATCTTCCGCGTTGGCAGCGTACAACGACCCCGTCTGTGGCAACTATCGAGTTAATTGTTTGCCAGTGTATCTGTCTGTGTGGGGTAAATATTAACATTAACATTAACATTAACATATTTATGCCACTGACACCATGCGCCTTGGTGCTGTGACTGTGGCTGCGGCTGTGGCATTTGATTTAGCGATCGCTCTAGGGAATAATTAAACGCTGCCATGTCGCGGCACAGTCCTTTGTTAATTAAGCATAAAACATTAAGTCATGGGAAAGCGATCCGCAGATATTCCGATCTACAGTTCTGCAGATCTACTGATACCCATGGAGCGCTGTGGCAGTGCCATGGGGGGGCCCATGCAGCACATGTTGCAAATGCAGCGTGCACCATTTGCCTCCGCCATGAACTTGGGAGGTAATTGAGCCATGGAATGGCATGTGCAGCGAGGGGCCGGGGGAAGGACTGTGCACACAAGGCGTGCCGTTTGTTGCAAACATAATTTGCAGCTCATTTGCCGCATCATTCGATATTCCAGTGAAATTAAATCCAAATCATAACTCATCCGTGGGCGCATTTCCGTCGGACTTCGCATACCAACATTAGATCAGCATTTGCCTCACTGATTTATTTATAGCCGATTAAGGATCAATTATGCAATTCAAGTGTTTACACGAGTGCAAGTTCTGAACGTGGTCGATTCGGCTAGAGGTCTGCTTTCAAGGCAAAACCGCCCAGCGGCGGAGGCGGAGGCGGAGGCGGCGCTGCGTGTATCATTTTCATAGCATAAATATCGCCCAAAAGAATGTACTGTTTATAGAACTACTGGGAACACACTCCATAAACAATTTGATCTAGCAACTATGTACTGTATTTGAATTGTATTTGTGCTACACAATTTTGTGTGGATGTTGCAGCATCTTCCTGTTGAGTCTGGTTGCTGTTTTTATTGCTGCTGCTGGTCAAAATTTAGTGGTTTCCGCGGAATGTTATCGTTCAAACATAACAAACAAAGTGTTGGGAAATCTATCAGGTTGGCTGGGAATTTTTACTTTACTTTATTTATAAGCAAATTGGGAAAGAACTCACTGAGTAAGCAAATTTACGAGCAGTCATGCTGATCATGGTGAAATTATTAACAAGGTGACGTTATCCGCTAAGCGAGGAGCACTTATTCACCACGCTCAAAAAGAAAGGGTTTGAGAAGGTGTGGTGAAGGCGTCACCTTCTGTTAGTATTCCTGCCTAGCTCTGAGGCGACTTGGAGTCAAGTTCAAAGACGTCACGAGTCACAAATTTTCGCTTAATCTAAAGAGTTTATTCGGGCACTTAATGGCCACACACAGAGAGGCAGTCACACAGAGCTACAGAGTTACTGATTTACCGAGTGCGTTAAAAACGTTTAGTTTGTGCCATTAAACTACAGACATAATGGTGTGTATGCGTGTCTCTCTCTCGCTCTCTGAGTGTTGACCCGTCTGGGGCCTGGGCTAGCCGCCTGATCAGATCACCTACACGCAGAAGGAAATGCGTTTGCTTTCAAGACGTTTTCTCAATTGATTTTCTTGATTTGTCAAGTTCTCGAGAACTTTTCCATTATATATCCGAACAAGACTACAAAAAGCCTTGAGAGGAAATGAATAAATAATTTCTTTAGAATTTCGGATTAAATCACAGATAGCAGGCGGCACATGTCCCCAAAAAACCCGTACTAACGGGTCAGTCATGTGTTGGCCACATTTCGGGGCAGCCAGCGGAAGGCAGAATCAGAAACAGCTGAGGACAGCGATGCTGCTTGACAATGGGCAGGGGACGAGCATGGTCTGGGGGTCTGGGTTGGGCAGAAAGATTTTCGCTTTCGAGTGTCTCCGCACAGAGCATAGTTTTCGCGAAAAACTTTAAAAAACTTGACGAATGGATGCGCTAACTGCCAGTCGGCCAGTGGATACTGGCCGGGGGAACAAGTTTCTTGGGCTTTTATGTGTGTGGCAGCCGGCAACTTTATGACTTTGGCCAAAAATAAAACGCACGCAATGCTCTGCGGTCAACAAGGCAACGGACCCAGACTCAGATCATGCGAAAGATATGTCCAGCATGTGCGTGAGATCTCAAGAGGCATTTCTGCTGTTGGGCTGAGGTGAGTGCCGTCAACTTTGAACTGGCACTGGCACTGCCCTGACTGACTCTCCGCATTGGGGAAGGGTACACCGGAGCGTGATGAAGGGGGGGGAGGGGCACTTCAAAGCACACGCACTTCACCTGTGTGCTGGCAAGCAATCGCCCAAACGCAACTCTTTGCATAAATATTTACATTTCCATTCGAAAATTTCAATTTGATTTTCGGTTTGGTTTTTTTCTTCCCCTTGTGGGTCGCACACACATTTTGGAAAGCCAACAAAAGGCACTGGAACAACAACAACAACAACAACAAGAAAAAACAGGTGAGCTAATGGCTTAATTTCTGGGGCACTGGGTGGAGGCGGAGGGAGGGCCACCGATCTGACTGTTTGAAGTTAGTTTGTAGCCGGAAATTGAGATGTCTAAAAGGAGGAATCGATCGATCCAATAATTGGGAATACAAATGGGACACAAAAGGGTGTCTGGGTATCCTTTGATTGCATTTATTACTCATAATTATGCATAATGTTAATTGCTAATTGGAAACATGTTGGCAGGACTCGAACAAGCTGCAATCAGGGCACAACAGCGGGAGGAAGTGGTTTGAAAAATGTTGCAATTTTCATTAAAAAAAAAGCTTCAATTAAGTTGGCAATGTAATTTGGCATGCAAACAAAATGCTGCCCAGGATAATGGCAGCGGAGCACTGAGCAGTGCCTGTTGCACAGCGAGCACATAGCCAGGACTCGCACACACCCACGCTGCATGCGCACATGTGGGCAGGACAATCGGTGGAGCAAGGCATGGGTCTGGCAGCCTTGCTTGTCAAGTGTTTGCGCATGTAGTTCAAATGAAATTAAAATTCCAATTGACACAGTAATTTGCTAGCAACACAAAAGGAATCAATTTCGTGCCAAACTGTCACAGTATCTGCCACTGGTGTTGCATTTGTGTCCCCGTATCCAGTTGATTTTCTGTAGCATGTTTCATGTTTGTCTGATGCTTACCACAACCGCCTCGATAAATCCATTTTGCGGCTCCTTCTTGGCACAATAATCGACGGGGCCGTGCCGCTGCGGGTTGGAATTCCACGAATTTTCACACGCAAATACTTAAATCGAGGCTGGTGCCGTGGCTTGACACTTGAAATGTTTTCTCTGTCCGGTTGGTGGGGGGTTTTGCCACTTGAGTTTTAATTATTTCGCACACTGTCGCTCACTGTTGAAATGATTCTGCACTTTGCGCCTGCGCATGGCCAGTAAGGATACGGCGGGAATGACACTGAATTTTATATTCGATTCTTTCTTCAATTTCGTTTTCGTCCTCGGACGCGTTCTCCTTTTTAACTCGATCACACACACCCGCAGGGTTAGAGCGCACGCCAGCAACTGATCGACTGGGAGCGTATACGATCGCTCTAATTCTGTCTGCCAGTGGCAGCAGCAGCAGCAGCAGCCAGTCAGGCAAGGCCCAACAGCAGCAGCAGCAGCAGCAGCAGCTTCAGCGTCTGCGTCGCTGCCAGCGATAGCGTCGCGTCGATGCGATAGCGCCACAAAGGACGGGCTGCTGTTTCCGCTCCTCTAATCGCACCAAAAATTGAATGGGAATTCCGATTCCAAGTAGCTGCTGCTCCCCAGAGAGAGTGGAGCACTAAATATATTAAGTTTATGCTTGCCGCCTGGATCCTTAAGCAACCGACAGCTTTTGGCCCCCACGAGAGACTGAGACTGCAACTGAGAGAGTTTTTTTTTTGCACACACTTCGAACATCCAACTTCAACTGGTTCTTGCTGCCTGATCTTTATGCGTTGCACGTGTGTGTGGTGGCTGACTGGCTGCTTGTTGGTGTTAAAAAGTGATTTACTGTGCCTGCCCTCACATGTTTTTCGGCATGGGATGCACTCGGAGTCAAGTCAAATGCCGCCTCTGATGAACACATGTCGGGGGAGTGCAAGTTGAAAGCAGAAGGACACTCCAGCGGATCCTTGTCATAAGTAAACTGCAGCTCAATTCGTTTTAATTGCAGCCAACACATGTGCGGGATGTTTACTTTGATTTTTCACGCCTCCATGCTCAAGGGAGCAGAGACAGGGGAGAGGCGTTGCCAGACACAAATATAGATGTCCAATGCACATGATCTCTTCTCTCTCTCTCTCTGCACTTGTGTTATAATTGCAGTCTGGCATTGTCCATGCAGATCGTTTAACCATGGAGCGCATCGATTACAACCAAATTAGTTGTCGAGTTCATTCATGAAATTCACAGACTCAGGGCTCTGGTCTGAGTGACTATTTCCGCATTCCAATTGGAGCTACAAACATATATAGTACATAAATATATATCATAATCCAACTGCCAATCTCAACCACAAGAGCTTCCGCCGAATTTTAGTTAGCCGCTGATAGTGCCGTACATTAAACCCCCCCAAAAAAAAAAGAAACTAAGAAAAGCGGAAGGAAGCCGCTCGAAGCATTGCTTAAGGGAAATATCTTTTATCCAGCATCGGTTATATAAGTCTGCCCCGTCACATTCTATATTTAAACCTCTCGCTCTTATCGCGACTTTGGCAGGGGAAAGTTAGCTAATGAATCGCAACGCAAAAAGGGAATGAAATTTGCATTTCAAGGCGAGCAACAAGCCGATACACACCGAGGGTATGTGGAGCGCACTTGTGAGATTATATAAATTCGCAGAATATAAATGGCATTTATATATTGTGCATAAAACAATTCGTTCATTCATTAAATGTAGAACTTGTCTCTAATTGGCTGAGCCTTAGCGGAAATCGTTTATCTGCGCAAGAAGTCGCTCTGGTCTATGGCCACTGAGTGTGCCTCTGGCTTGGTGTGGGTGAACTCCAATTAGCATTGCTTTGACCCATTTAAGCAGCTTCCGTCACAGGCAGCAGGCAGCAGGCACTCGCTCTCGCTCTCGCTGTAGCCGCTGTCAGTGTTTTGCCTTATCGCGGCGACAGTTCCGTTTGAGGCCGTATCCTAAGCACCACCCAGGCATGTGGGTGAAGGGTGGCTGCGGCTGCGGCTGCGAGATCAACAGGAAGTCGGATAGTGGCATTTGTTTTATATAAACCGTATAGAATGGAAACAAAAACTATATAGAATAAGTGTATTATAATGGCGATAACAAAGGCAACAATCATCCACTAGAAACCTGGATCCCAATCCGTTTGCTGCGCCTCCATGTGCGTCGTGTAGCATTGGAGTATGTCCCCGGCCTGTGGCAGCACTTTCGCATCCCTAAAGCGCAGTCCACACTCCACATCCTTCTTGATGGAGTCCACTTCGTTCTTCAGATGACGCATCGACTCCAACTGGCCATCGTAGACCACTTCCCCATCTCTCACGAGTCGGAACTTTTGTGCCTTCTTCAGCACGCCCTTGGTGCAGCGACACCCGGCAACGGGCACCTCTTTGCGTCCCTCATTGATGATGAAGCTCTGCAGCACATTGGCCTCGCCCAGCACTTCCTCCACTTCCATAGGTGGCAGCTTGCTGCTCAGCTGCTCCTTCAAGTCATCAATCAGCCGATAGATTATGTTGTAGCTGCGCACAGTCACATCTTTGGCGGCCTTCAGCTGTGGCGTCTCCACAGCAAAGGCATAGATAATGGCATCAAATGCCTTGGCCAGCTCCAGGTCTCCCTCCGTGACATTGCCCACGCCATAGTGCACAATGTCCAGGCGGCAGATCTCGTTGCTGCTGTACGTTTCCAGCACATCCAGTATCGCCTCCACAGAGCCATGCACATCGCCCTTGATGATCACACTGACGCGCGGCTTGCCCTCGTGCTCGTCCACCTGCTTGACCCGTTGGCCGCCGCGCATGCGAAAGCGTCCCGCCAGGCGACGTGCCTCGCGCGCTGCTCGATACGTGGCCTGATGCTCCTCATCCTTTTTGCGTATCTCATCGCTGCTCGACTCGATCTTCTCCTGCTGCGCCTCATGCTCGCGGAACTTCAGCACGGCGTGCGCCTTTTTCTGCAAAGGGTTTTCATGTCACAAATGGGAGGAAAAGTAAAGAAATTGCACTCCAAATACCTCCGTTTCCACCTCTAGTATGAGATCCCCTGCCAGTGGCAGCTCCCGCCAGCCCAGAATCTCCACTGGTGTGCCGGGCGGCGCCTCATTCAGCGGCTGTCCATTGTGATCGAACAAACCGCGCACCTTGGCATGCGCCAAGCCACTCAGCAGCACCGAGCCCTTGCGCAGTGTGCCGCGGGACACGATGGCCGTGGAGAGCTTGCCACGACGCGGATCTGTTTTGGACTCCACCACAATGCCCTCCACCAGACCCGCAGGATCAGACTTCAGCCCCATAAGCGTCGCTTGCGTGCTCACTGCCTCGGCGAGCAGCTGCAGGTTGGTGCCTTTGAGCGCTGAAATTGGGATGACCTGAATATCGCCGCCATGCTCCTCGAGAGCCAAACCCATTTGCGCCAGCTCCCGCTTGCTCTTTTCCTGCAAGAACCAATCAAACATTAGCAGCAGAAATTACAGATTGAAACCACAAAAACACCTACAATATTCGCCTCTGGTTTATCGATTTTGTTAAGCGCCACAATGATGGGCACCTGCGCCTCCTTGGCCAGCTGAATGACTTCGCGTGTCTGCGCCATGACACCATCCTCGGCGGCCACCACCAGCACAATGATGTCCGTGGCCACGGCACCGCGTGCGCGCATCGCGCTGAAGGCCGCGTGGCCGGGAGTGTCCAGAAATGTGACCTGTTCGCCGTTCTCCAGCGTCACAGTAAACGCACCGATGTGCTGTGTAATGCCACCAGCCTCTCCCGCAGCCACATCTGCGCCACGCAACGAGTCCAGCAGCGTGGTCTTGCCGTGATCCACATGGCCCATGACTGTGACGACGGGCGGACGAGGCTGCAGCAGCTCTGGCGGCGCAGGCGGCCTGGGCGTCACATCGCGCACCTTCTGCTCGTCCTCGCTGCTGGTCTCTGGTGTGGCCACCACGCGCGTCTTGGCGCCCAGCTTTTTGGCTATTTCTTGTATGATTTTGAGATCCGGCAACTTGGCGGCTGGTTCAATGTTGTCAGCGCCTTTAACGTACAGCATGGCCTCCTGCACGTCATCTGTGGTGGAGGAAAACCTATAAATAAGTGACTTGAGTCACCAAAGTTTGCTTGAGTGTCCACTTACCCACTGGCCTTTGCAGCGTCTTGGCCAGCTGCGTCACGCTCATGTGCCGCCAGATTTCCGATCCTCCAGCAGGCAAACCATTTGCCGGCGGCGCTTTCTTCGGTGAATACTCTATAATTCGTGGCGATTTCTACATAAATTAGTGAGTCTGTCCTCGTGCAACAGTTTATGCTTAGTATACGCTATTCATAAATCAACTTTTCATTCATAAATTAAAGTTTTTGCTCACAACACACACAAAAAATTTCATTCCTTGCCCAGTTGCTCTCAAACCTACCTTCTCTTCAGCCGTTTTCCGGCGCTTCAGTCGCGCGGCGTCCACATGAAATTGTCGCAACGCTGCCGCTGGCTGTTTCCAGTGTCTAACACAGCGGCTGGAGTGCAGTGCATTTGGCAGTCGATATAAACAGCTTATTCTTAACATTTTCTATGGGTTTTGACTATTTTTATTTAATTTTTTGCCCAATAATAATTTCACATAACAGCTAAGTGTGCCCGTTTTGAAACAACAACAACAGCTGTTCTGCCGGAATTCACAAAACTGTATATAGCGACATCTACCGTGTTTCTTCTGCAAAATGTTAAAAATGTGGCGCCTAAAAGTACCAAATGTGCTGTAGTGCGCACGCTTTAAGATATATCTTAATCAACCCTGGCGATAACCGATATGTTAAAAGTCAAAGTTTTCGAAATTCAAAATAAAAAGTTGTAAATTGCTGAAACATTTTTTTTGTTCATTAAAAGACCTGTTTGCTTGGGGTTTTCTCTGTTGTTTTTATTCACTTGTGTATTTTCACCCGCTCTCACAGTACATTCTACGTAGATTCTCAGTTCGTAAAATTGTTTTGTTTGTTTTTTAATTAAAGTTTACGCTGCTCTTTCGCCTTTATCTCACATATGCTTAGGTCCGGTCGTTCATGAATAAATAAATATACGTCAGTTTTTGGTCATTAGTTTGTTATTATCGTGTCTTCACTGTGTTTTCTGCTTTTATCAAAGAAAGTCTTATCAACTATGACATCGTCGGAAGGGTTGGTCAAAGCCAAAAAACCAAAAGAAAATTACAAAAAACATTAACAATATTGCCTGTGTGTGTGTGTGTGTGCTCAAAACTTCGCTGTTGTTTACTACTACTTGAAAAATTAAAGAAGAAAAATCTGGTAGTGGGAATTGAATTCCAATCGGTTGTTAGCCAATTAGGAGGGTACAGGGTATAGTTATCGTCGATATATGTATATTTAGGTACGCTCTGCTCTCAGTTAATAGTTTAACAGTTACTTGTTGCTCTGCTCTCACATATTCTAAGGACTCCCCTTGCCTTCAACTCTCCTCCCTGCACCAAAAGTGTGCTCTCTGTTGTGTGTCTATTTGCTCTCTTTGTGTAATTGGGTTTGTCGCTCTCATATGGCTCTCTCAGTTCGGTTAAGTTATCGTTCATAAATAAAAAGTTCTCTACTGCAAAACGGTTGATAAATTCATTAAATAAAATTCACTAAAGGCCAAAACATGGGCGCATAGGCAACCGTTGCTATTTCAAATATCATTTGCTCTCTCTTCGCTGCTCTCTCTCTCACTCTCTCTTTTCTGTCTTCTGTCTTACGCTGTTGTTCTTCTACAAACGAAAAAAAACATGCTCTCATATTTGCGGCTCTGTTCATGTCCTCTTGCTCTCTCTACGCCTGCTAAACATATATCCGTCCCACTCTCTCTTTCGTTATTCTCAATAGACGGTCACCGGTGGCGCTGTCGTTGTCACATTCTCTCTATCTCTCATTAAAACAAACTAAATGGCAGGTTAGGTTTTCCACTCCACCTCAACTCGTCTTTTTGGGATTAGCCTGTCCCTTGCCCTGTCCCTCCCCCGCTAACTGTTGCTGCTGCTGCTGCTCTTGCTGCTGCTGCTGCTGTGACTCAATGTTGGCAAGAGCCGCCTCGGACATCTTCTTGTACTTGCCAGCCAGCTCGGGCAGCTCGTAGGAAATGGCCTGATCCAGCTTGTTGATGGGACAGCCGCGGAAGTAGGTGCACGTTTCGGAGAGTTTCTTGAACTCGTACAGCGGATTGAGGCGGAAGAAGTCGCGGTACACCTCCGGATCGGGCAGATCGTAGCGCGAGATGTTGGTCAGCGTGGAGAGGCCCTCGTAGATGTGATAGTTCTGCGGATGGTCAATGATGTCATCCGAGATGCGCTTCTTGTTGCCGAACAGCGTCTTGTGGTTGAAGTAGGTGTTCAGATAGCAATCCACCATCTTGGCGTGGTTGCGCACGCGTACCTGTGGGAGAGAGGGAGATGGTGGATAAGTACCGCAAGGAACAACAGCAATGTGACGCAAATTTACCGCAAATCGACGCGCACTGGCAATCTTGTGCTCAATGCGCTTGTCAATGGCCGTGCGCAGATCGCGCAGGAAGGCGCGCTCTTGGGCCAGCAGCAGGCGGGCCGGGGCGCCGTCCTGGTAGGGATGCGTCCACAGCGAGGTGGTGTACATGAGTGGCGGCTGGGCCGACGACATCAGCGGCGAGATGTTCCAAATGAGGGCACCCTGCACGCGCAGCAGCTCCTCCGGGTGGACGGTGTCCGCCTTGTTGAGGATGATGCGCGTCTGGTACTCGCGCCCCTTCAGCTGGTCGAGTATCGCCTCCGTCTCGGGGCCCACATCCAACTTGGCTGGGTCGTAGACCAGAAAGATGATGTCTGCCCGATCGATGAACCACTGGCAGGCATCGTTGAAGGGAAAGACGCGTGAGACCTGCTTGCGCACCTCGAGTATGCCGGGTATCTCGACAATGTTGACCTAAAAATGCACACAGTGGCAGGCAAGTGACTAAATTTAGTAATTCACTTTTTGCTATTGCAACATATCTGCATTTATTAATAACGAAATTAATGCAGAATGCAGCAAGCGGCATGCAGACGGCTGTGTGCTAAAAGCTAAAAGCTAAAAACTAAAAGCAAATTGTGTCTGGCAGATGGCCAGCCATGATAGACAACAGACAGGCCCAAGGTGCATCTCCCAGGCAGACCGACAAGTTAATGCTGCTGTCTCACTCCCGCTCTCAGGTTAAGGCTTACCTTCTCGAGCAGCTTGCTCTTCATCTTCAGACCGCGCAGACGCTCCTCCAGGCCCTGGCCGAACTTTTGCAGGCCGGAGAACGTGTAGTCAGCGGCCAGCTGTGTGCCGTCCAGAACCTCCGTCTCATTGCCCCACATCAGAATATTGAAGTAGGCCGGAGAGGGTTCGGCACCTGCCAGAAGAGCAAAAGGTAAGCCATAAATCACTTAAGATCTGTTAGATCTGAGAACTCATTCTTACCCGTTCTCAGGGAGTTCGGGGTGTACTCATTGTCGGTCAAATAGTTGAGGATCGAGGACTTGCCACCGGACCAGGGACCCATGAAGAGCACCAACGGCTTTGAGAAGATCTCCGGATCGCTAAAGTGACGATTGCTCAGATCGCGGTACTTGTACAGCGTCTCCAGCGGCTTAATGGCATTCTCGTAGATGCGCTTAATGTCCTTCAGAATGATCTCGGCCACATTGTCGGTGGCCTTCTCGCGTGCATTGAACTCCTCGTCGAGCAGCAGCAGCTCTGTGATGTGCTGGCGACTGCGGCGGTTCTCGGGGATTGTTCCTTCCTGTAATTGAAAGACTATTCAAACAAGTCCTCCTAATGGGACTGGTGAGAACTTACCCAAAGAAGTTCATCCTCAGGTTTGGTGTCATCCTCGTCGTCGTCGTCATCATCGTCGGTGTCAGCGGCTTCCTGGGCTACAGCTGCCTGGGGCTCATCCTGCGCCTCCTCAGACTCAACGGCATCCTCCTTGGCAGCTTCTGGCTGCTGTGGAGCTGCGGCTACCTCTTCGGCAGACTCTTCTTCAGCTGGTGCCGGTTCGACGGGTTTCTGCTCCTCCACCAACTGTTCCTGAACAACTGGCTCTGGTTCTGCCTCTGGCTCTGGCTCAGGCTCAGGCTCTTTCACTGCCTCAACTTCTGGTTCTGGCTCTGGCTCTGGTTGGGCCTCCACCTCGACAGACTCCTCCTTGACGATTTCCTCTTCGATGGGGAATTCCTCGGCGGGACTTGGCAGAGAGTCAATGTCGATGACTGGCGCGGCATCAACCTCACGCTTGCTGCGCTTCTTAACCTTTGCCTTGTCATCATCATCATCATCGTCGTCGTCGGCCTGGCTGTCATCATCATCGTGTTCGTTGGGCACACCATCGCCATCGACATCGTTGTCATGTTCATTGGGAATGCCATCACCATCCAGATCGTCGTCCTTTTCATTGGGCACGCCATCGCCATCGAGGTCTTCATCCTCTGTGGAAGAAAAGAAGTCAGAAATTACACCACCAAATCGTAGAAGTTTCTTTGTGTGAAATTCCTACCAATATTCACTTTGCCGTCGCCATCCAAATCCTCATCCTTTTCGTTCTTGACGCCATCGCCATCGAGATCTTCGTCCTCTGAAAGTTACAATTGCCCATTGAGTGGGTTTACTATTTGTAATGGAATAATTTGCTTACCATGATTGGCTTTGCCATCGCCATCGATGTCATCGTCTTCTTCATTCTGGACACCGTCACCATCGAGATCTTCATCCTCTGTAGGAATATTTGTGGCTATTGTAAATGCTACATTCGACTGTGAATGTGCTGAAATAATTACCATGATTGACTGTGCCATCTCCGTCCATATCCTCATCCTCGTCATTGGGCACACCATCGCCATCCAAGTCATTATCCTCTGAAAGTATTGAGAGTACAAATTAGAGACTGCTTGGAAATCAGAGTTTAAATTTGAGCTACAAAAGCTGCTGAAAAGCAAAAAGAAAACAAGATCATTGCGCTCTAAAAGATGCCGAAAATATGTATCTAGAAATGATAAAAAAGCTTTCAGTTAATGCGGAACTGCTAGGCAGAATAAATTTCAAGTAAATGGAGTAATTATGTAGCAGCAAACCTACCATGATTGGGAGTGCCATCACCATCGAGATCATCATCCTCTGAGGGTTAAAAAAAATAAATAAAATATAATAAAATGGCTCTAAGGCATGAGGGCCACTTACCATGATTAACTGTGCCATCACCATCAATATCCTCATCATCGGCATTGTTCAGACCATCGCCATCGATGTCCTCGTCCTTGGAGTTGGGCACACCATCGCCATCGATGTCGTCATCATCCTCGTTGGGCACACCATCGCCATCAATGTCATCGTCATCCTCGTTCGGTATGCCATCGCCATCGATGTCATCATCCTTATCGTTCGGTATACCATCCCCATCGATATCATCGTCCTCGTCATCCGGTATGCCATCGCCATCTATATCGTTGGCGCTTTTCGCGTCCTCTGTGGAATCCAATTCGACAGTTTCAATTTCAACAGTTTCTTTGTCATCAAACGCAGCGCGTTTCCCACCATCATCGTCGTCATCATCATCGTCATCGTCGTCGTTGTTCCTACGGGGCTGATCGGATTGCAGTTCCCCAGAGCCATCTCTGAC